GTTGGTTCTTGTTTCAAATTCTAGTAACCCTTCAGGGACCTTGTATAGACCATGAGTATACTTGTATACTTCAATGAGGTCCCCACGCAGACGTCGATAACTGAGGCTTGGAAGCTTCATAATCTTCAATCTTTCTTCATAGGACTTGCCCTTCAAGCCTGGAATTATCCCTTCAAGCCCTTCAAGCCTGGAATATGAACAGCAATTACACAAAAATCATTATTTTACATGGGGAGCACCCTGGCGCATCAATTAATGGTCCTGATTTAAATTAACTGTTTTCTCTTCATGTTCGCTAACTACTCCATCGCCTATCCATGGAGTACGGAACCTGCCGTAATTATGCCGATTCCCGTTACTATTCCGTCAACTAAATCTTCTGCATTTGTTGTTTTCAGTTCGCTTTCAAGTTTCAACATCGGGTCTTGATCCTTAATCGGTAGTGAAAGCCTGACTTTTCATAACATTATCGTAAATGAAGACTCAATGGCCGCATTCTCTATTACTTAAAATTCTTTACTACATCGATCCTACAAAAAGTGTGCGGTATTTTCATTGAAAGTTATTAATATTTCGAAGTTCTCATTGATTACACCATTGTTCGGTACACCAGCGCTTCATTATTTTTAGGCTACGACAATCTTAGGATTTTCAACATTTTCTTTTACATGCTCATAAAGTGTGTTAGAAATGAATGAACAATTCTGTCATGTTTGTTCACGAATGCAACTTCTGCAGGCCTCAAACACCGTTATATATGATCATAAGCTTCGACGAAATAATCGATTACAATACGAATGTGAGTAGTAAATCTGATGGCCACTTGTAGATATATACGTAACAACTACTCTCATTGTTGCGAGTCAGGTGAATGTTTTGGCTGGAGTAGAAATTGAATGAATAATGACAATAATACTGAAAATTTGAGAGTTATGGCTAGTTTCTGCTGAAGGACATAACTTTCGGTAATTAATTGATATGGGATGTAATGTCATGATCAGCTGGTTGACTTTCTGGTGTATATCTTTCGGAAATTGGTACGTGTCCTCGTTGGCAGGTGGTAATCCTGATCAGTCACCCTGCCGGATGCGTTCAGATGAAAATATTGCGAAAGTTTCTTCTGTTTTTGTGTATTGTAAAGTTATAAGGCAAGTTTTTTTCTGGAATTTAATCTTTGAAAGTTTCTATCACTGAATTTTTTGTCTTGTTTTTCTAACTTTGATGTTTCTGTGCCTCGCATATTGCTGTACAAGTTATTCTCGTCATTTGCTATCGAACTTAATTGCTTAAATGATGATGTCAACATATTGTTGAGTTAGATTTTATTGGAGTAGTCGTTCTCATTGGGTAAGAATATCAATTAAGTTTTTGAAACAGTAATCAGGATAATGCAGGTTTTATTGCTTCAGAAAATGAATTTTGAAACAAAGATTTTTAGTTTTTTTTTTTTGTGATGAACTTCTATAAAGTAACTGGAAAGTGGAAACTAGTGGTTAGCCTACTGCCACTGGTTAGTGGGCAATGGGCATAGTGGGCATTAGTGGCAGGTGGCTTAGTGGGTACTGCCATCGCCCGTCAGTGCCATGAGTGCCACACTGGCCCACACAGAGCACAGGCCCATACTACTTGGCCTTTGCAGAAGCCAAAAGGCATTGGATTATAAATTTCCTAGTTTTTAAATACTGTAATCTTGATTGTGACATTTTTGCTTTAAATTAACAAAGTAACTTTGGATTTGGAATCTGGCAGCTCAAGCTGTCAAGCATGCACTTTTATTTATAATTAGATAACAGATAATTCATCTTGCCTATTTAAAAATAAGTAAAAAATTGGTAAAAGTCATCATAGGGTAAACGCGGTATTATTATTTTCGGTATATTCTGACACATTAAGGACGCATCGAGAAATGAAAAACTATAAAAAAAAAACTTGTGCGTTACGGTACGCAAGTTCTGTTGCCTTCACCGTCTTCACGTGACTCTCAAAACACTTCACTACGCGTCAGCAACGATGAAACGTCGCAAAATGTTGCCATATTTATTAAAAAGCCTTAAGAATGGAAACCTACCAAATCCCTATATTCCGTCACTGTGTGTGGCAATATTCGACACGTGGTGAGTCGTATTGCGTCAGCGCTTCAAATTTAACTGATGCGTAATGCCGACATCAACGTATTCGAATTCCGTTTGCTGTGTGAGGCCCATAGTGGCAAAGCAGAGAGTTTTTTAGACTGCTTCAAGTTCAATTTTGAGTCCTATAAGTAGACCCGCAAAGTATCATGGATACCAGCATCATCATACATAAGATATTGGTTTAAATCTTGAGTAAATGAGAAAATTAACAAAGAACTGATTCTAAAAAATTTCTGGTTTGCCACTATGGTGTGAGCTGTATTGGGATACAATACGGCATAGTGGCAAACCAGAGATGTATCAGAATCAGTTCATTTTTAATTTCCTCATCTACTCTATATTTTAATCAATTTCTTATGTATGAAAATGCTGGTATCCAAGATACTTTCTAGTCTACTTATAGGACTCAAAAATGAACTTGAGGAAGAGTCGAAAAAAATTGCTGCTTTGCCACTATGCAACACGGCTTTGAATTAGAACACTAACGAATATTGAACACTACTTAATTACGTTTTAATTAACAGCTATTAGGCTTTTAATTAAGCAAATTTCAATTTTTGTACAAAGCTTGGAACAATCTGTGTGTGTATAACATAAGAATTGCCAGTTGGTCCTGTCTTACCCCATGCCTGGTCCCATCTTACCCCAATGGGGTAAGATGGGACCAGCTCACTTTTTTTAATCTGTACAGAAAACTATGTTAGATGCAAAACGTCTGAGTTGTATCTTAGAAGCCCATTGCATAACTACACCTTGTGATAGGTTTAGGGTTTTTTGTTATTCTTGGTATTGATGCTACAGGCTTGTTAGTGATTTTGGTCCTGTCTTACCCCATCTGACTATATACCGCGTTTACCCTACCTACCTAGTGGCACAGCAGAGAGTTTTTTAGACTCTCCCTTAAGTTCATTTTTGAGTCCTATAAGTAGACCTGGGGCCGTATTATCAAAACTTCGTAAGTACGCAAAATCGACTTGCGAGAGGCGTTGCTATGACAACGTAATACTAGCGGTGCTATTATAAAAACATTTGTGCGGGAAAAAATTTAGGCTTTTAGCCAAGACTTGCGTACAATAGTTTTGATAATGCCAAAATTGGGGTGTATTTACATACCACAGAACGTTTTTGTCGTAAGTACAAAAAGTTATGAAGTTTTGATAATCCGGCCCCAGTAAAGTATCCTGGATACCAGCAATCCAGCATTATCATGCTTTAGAAATTGGTTTAAATCTTGCGTAAATGAGGAAATAAAAAATGAACTGATTCTAAAAAAGCTCTGGTAAGTCTGGTTTGCCATTAAGTCATTTGTGAATTGGCCAAAGTGCCTGTAAATCTGGCAGCATTCTGGCTTATTTCTATAAGCTGCTATAGCTATTTATATTTCTGCTTCTATAGCCATTTCCCAATTTCATCAGTAAAAGATACTACGAACAATCTTTTTTCAGTAGCTATTATTGGAAATCACCCATCAAACTATTATTTTCTCCAGAATTTTAGAAACCCTTTGCCAGGTATTCTAAAGTAAATAAGATCTAGATAAGATCTTCTGGATATCTAAATAAGATAAGATCTTCAGGATATCTAAATAAGATAAGATCTTCAGGAATCCTATGGCTCAAAAAATTACAGGAAAGCTCTAACCTCTAATCACATCAGCATGGCTTGGAATTTTGGAAAATAGATATATTTCAGGTCTGTGTTGGCAGTTTTAGTATGCTTGTAAAACCTAAGTTATGTGATTTTATTCAAGTTGGAAAACTAAGTCATCTGTCCCTTGCTGGCGTAGAATACATCCACCGTTTGAGCTGCAGCGTGCAGCCTGTACTTGAGCACAAAGTTGAGCTTATGTGACATTTTTGGAATCATGAGATTCCTGCTGGATAAATTATCTCCTTTCTAATTGTTAATAAAACTGCATAATTAGGCCACAATATTTTTGAGTGTATCAAAAATTGGTCCTGACTGAGAGGCCAGGGTCCAGACTGAGAGGCCAGGGTCCAGACTGAGAGGCCAGGGTCCAGACTGAGAGGCCAGGGTCCAGACTGAGAGGCCAGGGTCCAGACTGAGAGACCAGGGTCCAGGTTGAGAGGCCAGGGTCCAGACTGAGAGGCCAGGGTCCAGGTTAAGAGGCCAGGGTCCAGACTGAGAGGCCAGGGTCCAGGTTGAGAGGCCAGGTTTCCACCTTCCAACATTATTTGCAGAAGAGGGTTGAAACAAGCACTGAAATGACATGCAATGATTGCTCTAACATATTCTTCTATCAAATTAAATTCAGTGCAATTAGAATGCATGATATGGGCTGGTCCTTTCTTACCCCATGAAGGCTGCGATCCTGTCTTACCCCATTTGACTATATATTTTGAATTTATATATATTCGTCATTGCATTGATGAAAATGTACTATAGGTCCCATAATGTTATGCCTATCTGGCTCCAGAATTCCTATAGCTACAAAGGCAATCATTTGTGTTGGTATGGTGCAGAATATTTTAGAAGTGTGAATATTTGTACAATGTAAAAACTGATGTGCATGTACATCATTTTTTTTCTTTAATCCCACCTGATCTTAAGATAAGCCATAATGGCCAGTTAATATATTGTAACTCTATGATCAGGAGAAATGTTTAGAAATTAAAGATGAAATTGAAAAGTATAGCTATTAATTACATTATAAAAAAATCATATAAATGCAATGGTGAAATAACATTGCTTTACTAAATTGAAACTTGTATTGAATAGAAAAACAACCAAAAGTTACTAAGTATTCTTCAGGTTCTAAACATTCAGCCAGGTAATTTGATGCAAGAGGTCTTGGAAATTGCCACCCATTCCCTTTCACACTGTAAATATGTATACTTATTTATAAAAATTTATTATGGCAAGTTTTTTATTGTTTTATTGGAGCATTTTGCTGTAATGATAATGTTCTTTTTATATATTAGTTTAGATATTTATATTTTAATTGGTTTACATTAAAGCTTTAGCTGGGAGGTAGTGTTAGAGGAGCCTGCATACATTGGTTTTGAGTGCATTTCTGCTGTTCATGTAGAAGTTGAAATCAATTTGGTTGAGTCAAAAGTCTGTTTTCAATAAAATACCAAAAAAACTATCAATAATATTAGAAAGTTATTTTCAACAATATAAACTAAGTAGTAGGTGTGTAGCTCTAATGAAATTTTGTCTTGCAGACTCGAGTGGTCTTGCAGCCATGTCGAGCATCAAGCAGGTGATCAATGAGGCAGTGGAGAAAGGTAAGGAGGTCTACGACAAAGGTGTGTATCAACTCCAACCTGAAGTCCTGTTGCACTTCATCCCACACACACACAGTCAAGCCAGGGCTCCTCTAAGCTCTTCTAGTGGCTGCCAATCATGAATGAACACAAGAATATCTTGGCATTTACTCAAACTATTTTTCCCAGTGCAATCACTTGATGCTGGAAAGGCTGAGATTGATTAATTTTTAGGTTATTTTTTGGCTGCAAAGCTCACTCTTGTAGCCATCATTGAATTGCTTTTTTTTACTCTGTATGGCCGTTAAATTATTTTGTTTCAATGGACAGAAAAATGATGGGATGCACATGCAAGTGATGTCAAACAATTCAGAATACCAAATAAATTTGAGTTAATTGTTGTTAATTTTGTTATTGTTATTTGATGCTATTTATTGCTTGATGCTACCCATTCAAGCTGAAAGGAGATCTGTATCACTTTTAATGTTTGTGTTATTTTAGCGTCAGAATATATTTATTAATCTCAGAATCCTAAAATTACATATATAATAATTTTTTATTATTATATTCATTATATATATAGATCTTTCAGACCTTGGAAAATGTCAGTATCTAATGCTGAAACTTTCATTTAATTTAAAACAATAGCTATCTATTTTATGTGTTCAATATCTATTGAACACATAATGTGACCTAAATGGTAATTTTTTTTACATCTGAGAAATATCTTCAACAGGAAGAGATTTACCTAACTATATAAGGTTATTCAAACTGTTTGTGATCTACTCTTTCATTTCAAAGTTTAATTACAATCATAAGATATTCATGTTAATTTTTCACATGAACTTCATCTACATAAATCTACAAAACTTGAATCCAAACTCTTATATAACCAAAAAGAAAAGAATCATTCAGTTTTTTTCCAACTCGAAAATATGCATTTGATTATCGTTCCATGAATGTGGTATCAATATATTTAATTTATAGGATATGTACCAATTTCAGTGATTAGTAGGGAATATTCTATTATCTTTGGATCTGATATTTATTTTCTATCAATAGATGATCTCTAAAAGATGATCTCTTGTAAGATGATCTCTATCTTCAATTAAAACCATCCGGGGAGAAAAAAGCATCGTAGCAAATTGTGCAGTGTTATCTCAAACTCCAATGGAAGCTTGAAGCTCAGTGCATTAATTGCTCTCATAAAATATCCATGTAATATCAATATCCAGTCTTGGTACCTACATGTTTTGTTGGGTGCTTGTAAGTTGCAAACATCACACAAGAGAACATAGGTAATGTACCCCAGATGGCTTGGTTATCTTATCTCTTATCTTGCGCTGCTCACAAAGCTATTCATTGTCCAGCCTCTGCCTCTTGGATCCTTAGGAGGCATATAACTTGCCCCCATAGCTCCAGAATAATATTCAGTATAGATGTTCAAAAATATTTTATGATATCCTTGAAACTGGTATATGTAATTTCTTCATTGCATTAGTTGTCTTTTAATTGGGAACAACAGCTGAGAACTGTCATTTATTTTGAGCAACAGTTGACAAGTAATATGCATTTGTCGCTATAGATAATCAAGGTTCATTCGTATTCACTGGTAGTAATATAATTTTTTATATATAAAGGTTGCATTAAATTATGAATCGTATATACTGGTAGTAATTAATAAGCATTTGTTCTTCTAAGTCGCCAATAACCATTAAGACAGCTATGCTCGTCTCCCTCTGATGCTGTCAGACTACACGGCCGAGCAGCGCGAGATCCTCAACCCGTACTCAAAGAAAGGCCTTCTGCCTGAGCAAGGTGTTCTGAGCCTGAGCAGTATTCCTGCTGCATTGTGTGCCTCATATCCCTTGTGAAACTTGTTTTTGATGTTCGAGTTTGGAATTTAGCAAATGTTCCAGCTAAAATATTGCTATAATAACTTCTCTTATTTAGGCAATGTCTGTTTGAATTCAGTTTGGCTTTATAGCTCATTTAAAGCTTTTGTTTCCTCATACTAGGAATGATATTAACAGACATATTGCCTTAGTTTGAGTGGAATATACTAGGACAACAGATTAATGAAATATTCATGCCATGTCCTCTGCCGCAAAGTTTTTGTTGTTTTTCCAAGTGTATTGATGTCATATTATCCGATAACCTGTCACCTGAGTGGTCTAACCAGCAACTAACTAACGTTTGGATCAAACAAATTGTGTTCAGTTTATCAATAACCTTGTTAACCTGCAAGCAATACTTGCCTTACCCTGATTTGAGATGCATTTTGAGTGTGATTTTAGTCATTTGTCCTTTGGCAGCCTCTTTGAAGCAAGCATCGTGTTCACTAAAATCATTTCTCTTGAGTTATACAATGAAGCTCTAAATTTAAGTGCTTTGTGTGGAAATAATCCACTAGAAGTATTTGTTTAATCATTTGATTAATTAGAGCCCAGCTGACTGATGTGTGTGGTTGATGTGTGACTCACCATTAAGCTTTTTAGTTCTCTAACTCACTGTGATTTTCCTTATTAGTAGTTTTTTTGTAATAGTTCATTTTAAAAATTTGCTGCTTGTGATGCAGCATAACTTTTAATGCAATTCATGTTCAGGTGAAATTATGAGCATTTCTCAATGCATAGATCTCATAAATTATTATATAAATGATATCGAAAATAAACATTCATTTTACTGAGTTTATATGAAGATTTGTAATAACAAAACTAACATTTGCTTTCTCCTATTATTTAGGTTTCTATTAGATTATTTTATTTAGTTCTTATAAAATGTATCGTATGGATGCCAAACATTCGTTGCTTATATTTATCTAGTTGTTTTAAAAACAACCTTCACATCTGCCTCTGATATCAAGAATGCATGGAAATTGTCTAGTCAATAGCTTCACTGTTTAAATAACAAGGTTACATATTGAAGTTAAGCACCATACAACTTGTGAACTATCAATGCGTGTCCTTTATCATTCTGCATCTAATGCAAGTTTCTGTTCCGTCCGCTCGTATGCCAGTCCGCCAGCCCAACCCCATCCGGCTGCGGGACCTCATCCGCCAGATCAGATCTGCCAAAACAGCGGCCGAGGAGCGCTCGGTCGTCAACAAGGAATGCGCCGCCATACGCCTCACCTTCAGAGAAGAGGACTCTGTCTGGCGCTGCAGAAATGTTGCTAAGCTTCTCTATATCCACATGCTTGGGTACGTTGATATTCATTTTATCTAATTGCTTGAGCGCGTTAAAATCTATTATATTCACGTGCTTGAGTGGTGGTGTTGTTCATCATGTAAATATATCTCTGTATACTACACGGGTTTATGTTTGTAATGCTTGACCAAATTTTTTGTCTTGATGCTAAATTTAATTCTAAATTTTGATTCATAAGTTGGACTCTGCCATTGGAATTAAATCAATTGTTGTGGAGAAACGTCAGTGTATTGTTTCAATTTTGACTAGCATCATTATGACGAGCTTACTTGCCCTTGGATTCCTTGAACGTGTGTAGCATTTATTGTTTTGGCCCGTTTATGTTTGAACGATAGCCCCTGTAGCATGGATACCATCGTGAATACCGACCCTGTAGCATGGATACCATCGACTGCTACCTGTCACGACTTAGTGAAATTCTGGAGGTGTAATTCCTATTCAGATGCTCGTCCAAAATCAGAGCTACGATAGAGGAATCCAGAACCTGAGTGTTGTTTAGAAAGTCCTACTGAGGTCGAATTGGCAGAATGCTATTTGAAGTGGCAGGCTTCGTCAATTATTATTGATGTACTAGCGTTGATGGCATGATGCCAGAAACAGGAAAAGAATCATGTTTTTTCAAGCACTCCGTTACCATGGGAGCCTCGTCCTATATTTCCAGTTACCATTTAACTGAATAAATTCAACAATAGCCACTACATTATCCATATTCAACCTTTTCTGCGCTTGACACTCCCTGCCACCCACCCCCACCCTGCTCTCACTGGACACTCCCCCAGGTACCCAGCTCACTTCGGCCAGATGGAGTGCTTGAAGCTGATCGCATCGCCGCGCTTCACAGACAAGAGGATTGGATATTTGGGCGCCATGCTGCTGCTCGACGAGCGTCAAGACGTCCATCTTCTCATCACTAATTCCCTTAAAAAGTGAGAATGTTAGCATATCGCTTACTTTCTTGCTTCAAAAGCGTTTTATCACCGTCGCATTGTTATTTAGACAGACTCGCGTCAGCCTGTTCCTATTGTGGAGCGGACGGTCGCGGATATTTTCCTTGAATATCATGCTAGCATCTATATTTCTAACCTTGCTTCAATGCCGACCAGTCTTAGATGTATGTATTATATGAATGTTTTTCACCCAAAAGTCTGTGTTTTTTTGCGTCAGCGACCTGAAGTCGCCGACGCAGTTCGTGCAGGGGCTGGCGCTGTGCACGCTAGCGGCGATCGCGTCACCGGAGATGGCGCGCGATCTAGCGGACGAGGTGGAGCGGCTGCTCAAGTCCTCCAACGCCTACATCAGGAAGAAGGCGGCCATCTGCGCCGTCAGGATCATGTCCAAAGTCCCTGAGCTGCTCGAGATGTTCCTTCCAGCCACCAGAAACTTGCTCTCCGAGAAAAACCATGGTTCGGGGCTGTCGCTTGACTAGTTTTGAATAGCCTTGATCTTGCATTGCAGTCTTGGGAAAGTATTTATGATGAGGGAGACTTGTGAGAGTGTCAATGCGATCTACACTTATATCATATAATAAAGATAAGGCAGGAAATATTTCGTGCAACGGATTGTACCTTCTCCCTTTTCCCTAATTTAGTAATTTAGCCGTCTGCAAATTGCTTCATGATTATATTCAGCGTTCCCTGCGCTCGTATTTCCCCATATTTCTAGTACGCTTTTATATGTGTGAGCTATGTCTTAAATAAGTGAGAATGCTATTGCGCATAAAGGTCTAAATTTCAGATTGATAACTGGTCGATAAATTAGAGCTTTGACTTCAGTTTGCATCATAATTAAGATGCAGGTTCATATCATAGACTGAACAGAAATTCGTTGATCATTTGATTTTTTAGTTCCCTGTTCACGTCATTATTCAAGCAAAGATGTGCGTTGTATATTAATAAACGTCAGTTACGGTATTTTGTTGTACAAAATAGTTGAGTTATGTTATAAACTAATCATCTAGTCTATTTTTATTCGTTTGATTTTATTGTTTGCACTAATTCGCGTCAACTAATTTGATTTGATCAATGAGGTGACTAAGTGTGTTGTGTTACCAGGCGTCCTCATCACGGGCATCACGCTCATCACCAGCATGTGCGTCCAGTCCCCCGACACGCTCGATCACTTCAAGAAGGTCAGAATTATTCGCTTACTTTAAATTAAATTACCTATTGCAAATTATTTACCATCCCAAATTAATCTAATTTACGTCGGTTTCCTATTATTTCATGTCGTATGTTTGGGTTCTCATAACGTGCATTTCTTATTCTTTCCGTCCGTCCTTTTTTCTGCCTTGCGTTCGTTGCCTTAGTTATAAAATGTTGACTGCTGTGTCATAGGTTGATTTTCTTGCTTCAGATAAATTTTGTTTACGCAGTAAAACTATTTTTGCTGAGGCAGGTCTATCAAAGTACACGCAGCGGCCAATTCTCAACTGTGGTTGGTGGGTTAAGCTTGAAAAGCTGTCAGTTATTGGCACCTTCTGCCGAGCAAAAACATTATTTAACACGTGCCGGCATTGACACACACACGGTTATGTCTCGGTTTACAGGACCGCTGAACCACTTCAAATATACATTTTTTTCAAAGTCTGAACTATTTTCTCAGTTTGTGCTAATAGAATTTTATTTCAATGGATAAATTCAGTTGTCTGATTAACTTGGTCTCGAAATAATGCTTCTTACTTCTTTTAATTATGTTAACGGAAAATTGACTTTGAGATGTGTGCTGTTAAGAATTACTCATGGTTATAAAAGTACGTCGTTTTGAAGTTTCATCATTCTTTAAGACGAGCGTTTGACTTTTATTTTTGCATCTATTTTTAGTCTAATGAAATATCCTTTGTGATCTCATCTTAGGATGGCACTCGTCTCAACTCTCTCATTATTGTGCACACTGCATCTTTTAGAGTTTGATGTAACGTTGTATAATACGAATCGTTTCTGCTTTGAATTTAATGCTATCCTTGCACTTCAAGGGTAAAACTTGCTGCTCCCTTGCTGCTCGTTACCGACAAGCTGGCGGTTCTATTCGCATGAAAAGTTCTGAAGTCCATTTGATTATACCAGTGTTGAATTGCATATCTTGTCTTACTCTATTGATCTAAACAATGTAATTAACAGACGTCCGACCAAGGTTCCAATGTGCGAAAATGCAGAATATTTCTACACTTACGCAAATGTTGCAATGTTCACCAAAATGTTGTGTTTTCTCTCGTGGTATCTGACTCAATGAAATAAACCCATAACATTACTGTATCAAATTGTTGAGTTACATTGTAGACTCGTTTCCTAGTCCATTGTTATTCACTTATTAGTATTGATTGCACTAATTCGCGTCAAATTCATCCTCAATTTGTAGTAGAGCCAATTCCTGCTTCTGAATATTGTAGTGCGCAGTAGCTATGAGTTTGAAGACAGTGAGGGCTGGTAGCCCTGGATCCCTGTTAAGTGTTGGCATAAGGAACGATTGGGTGTTGAATACTTTATCATTTTATTTTCTTCAAAGGACAATTGTATATCACAGTTAATACGGGAATTTTTAATCAACATTTATATATGTAGGATCTACAATTACGTCCATAGTTCATTTGGTCCCTAACACCACTCCAATCTAACACCATCACCAAATTGTAGGGATACTTGAACTAAATGTTAGTTTCTGTTCTATTGTTAAAACAATAATTGTTTGATTGTTATTATAAAATTATATAGTGGCTTCTCAAGTGTTTAGCACAATGGATGACTTAGCGCTTTGTTAGGTCTAGGCATCGGCCCAATTGTGCATTATTAATTATTAATTATCTGTAAAATTTATCTCCAGTACATTTTTTGCTAAAGTATACATTCTGCAGAGCATGCACAAGTGCTTTGTATATAGTGAATGAACCATCAGGCTATTTAAGACTCTCGTAACATCCGTGTTAGTTTAGTTGGTATTCCACCAACCGCTTAATCGTTGCCCCCTTTCTTGCCTTGCTCCCGCTAGGAGACAGACGAGCAAGAGGTATGCTTTGTTATGCTTATTTGTGGTTGTGGGCAAGACGCTACAGTATCACAGTCCGTGGTCCCTGGCTCACTCTTGCTGCCCTTATAATATAGCACTTCACACTTCGAATATTGCACTTTAAACTTCGTGATATACCCCATCAGTTCATGATGCCCAACGTAACATTCGGCGCGACATAGCTCGATCTGAAGCGCTAGCAACTAAGACCACTAAAACAAACAAACTTCAAACTTTGGATATATCACTTCAAACTTCGAATACTCCTTTTTTAGATATATCGCTTCAAACTTGGGATATTGCACATCAAACTTCATATATAACACAACTTTGGATATAGCTCTTCAAGTTTTAAATGCACCCTCTATTTCTCAGATTTTAGTTCTCGGTTGGATATCTCATCCTGCGCCCAAGTGTCAGCAATAAAACTGATTCACTCACAATTGACTGTACTCTCATCTTAATGGTTTCTATTTTGACGGAGGTTATCATTTCTATATAGTTATAATTTTCTAATTCATTTCTTCTTCAACCAGTTGAAAATTTAAAAAGAAATGTACAGAAGGAAGGATCAGAAATTCCAAAATTAATTTCGCCTGTTGTCACTGTAAATTTAAACAAATATCGTTCAACAATTATTAGAGGGTAACCTGTCACCAATTTGAGCATGAGATTATGATTCATTCACCCGAACACGCACCGTAGTTGGTAAAACTTTTCAAGCAAAACTAAACATTTTCATCATAGCCACGCTCCATCACCCTTTGTACCAGTCCAGTGATAGCTGTGAAAATTGTAGCTTTTCTTGCAGTAATTCTTTACGCACTTTAAATACTTCCCGAATTTCTAAACTTAATATTCGAACTCAGCCTAGTTCAAAATTATTGAAAGCAGTATTATTCACTTTAAGAATTCAGACTTGTGTCTAGGCTTGGCATAAGGAAAGCACTTGAAACTCTACTCATGCCTTCGTTTCTTCTCATTATATTCTTACATTTGTGATCAAATAGAGCCGCGTTCTCTGTTGTAAACCTATTCCTGCTTCATACTATTTGGTGGCATGAAATAACATGGACAAATTTAACTAGTACTGTATTGCTTGTTTTTTAGATACTCGTAGCCTTCTTTTCTCTATTTTATTGCTATTGGACTGTATATATTATTTCTAGCATGAGCATAATTTTTAAAAGCTTCATCGTTAGCGTTACTTTCATTTAACTTTTGTAGCATGGCCTTCATTATTATTGCTGGCATGGGCATCATTATCATTGCCAGCTTCACTTATTGTTAGCATAGACATTTAGACATCAACATCTAATTCCATACGCACTCATGTGTTCATTCTCTTCATTTACGCTACTCCTTCAGTGGAGCATTTACTATAACTGGTAATCCAGATATTCATGTACTTCACTGCGCGATGAACAGACCCTGAAATAAGAATCATAACCCTATCAGCAACTTAGCATAGTTTCAAAACACCACTAAACTCAAGCATAAGCCATTTAACATTTACCTCTCTTCTTAGTACCTATTATTAAGTCGCTTGTAGTTATTTTTAAACCTGCATTGCCTTCATGTATCAAAGTTTTCATTTTGTATATTAAAGATAAACTCCATTTCAAAAATTTTAAATATGTTCATCAGCTGAAAATGGACTTCTAAAATTAAATAACCTGTAGAAGATATTGAAAAGCAATGAATTTCTCTCGTTGAGAATCATTGCATTGCCTTATATTTTGCAGACCGTGGGTAACCTGGTGCGCATCCTCAAGAACCTCGTGATGGCGGGGTACTCTCCTGAGCACGACGTGCAGGGCGTCTCTGACCCCTTCCTTCAGGTGAGTCTCTGACCTCTTCCTTCAGGTGAGTCTCTGACCTCTTCCTTCAGGTGAGTCTCTGACCTCTTCCTTCAGGTGAGTCTCTGACCCCTTCCTTCAGGTGAGTCTCTGACCCCTTCCTTCAGGCGAGTCTCTGACCCCTTCCTTCAGGTGAGTCTCTGACCCCTTCCCTCAGGTGAGTCTCTGACCCCTTCCTTCAGGTGTAATAATTTAGACTAATCCCTAGGCTGAGATCTCTAATTGTGTCTTGCTGGCTCTGGTGTATAAACATGAATGATTATTTTAGTTCTATTTTGATCTGCATTCATATACTGAAGTGTGGCCAATTTTTGTGTTGAAGGTGAAGGTTCTGAAGCTGCTACGCATCTTGGGTCGCGGTGACGGCCAAGCCTCAGAGACGATGAACGACATCCTAGCCCAGGTCGCCACTAACACTGAAGCCACCAAGAACGTCGGTAACGCTATCCTTTACGAGACTGTACTATCCATCATGGATATCCAGAGCGAGACTGGCTTACGTGTGCTGGCCGTCAACATTTTGGGCAGATTCCTGCTGAACGTTGACAAGAATATCAAATATGTAGCACTGCACACACTGTTGAAGGTAGTGCATCAGGACAACCAGGCCGTGCAGCGGCACCGCACCACCATACTCGAGTGTCTCAAAGACGCCGACATCACCATCAGGAGACGTGCCATGGAGCTCTGCTTTGCCCTCATCAACCCCAGCAACGTGCGCACTATGATGAAAGAACTTATTAGTTTTCTCGAGACGGCTGAGACAGAATTCAAGGCTGTTTGTTCCTCCAAGTGCGTCACGGCAGCGGAACAATTCTCCCCCAACACGCGCTGGCACATTGACACTTTGCTCAAAGTCATCATCGCTGTAAGTTGTAAACCATCTCAATTTTTTTTAATAATCGAAATAAAGGTGACTTAAACCTATCATTGATTGTGGCTATTAATTTCGTAATATTGTTATTCTAACATTCATTATGTTATTGGGTTGATCAGCTGCTTAAAGTATTAACGTGTCTACGTTCTGGCTGGCAACGGCGTTTTAAACGATGTGGGGACGTGGGTGATATTGATTGTGTGTATAGAACTATGCACAATGATTATTAAACAACAACAAATTTGTTTTGATAAACCAGTACCTCCATCTAATATGTGTGCAAATGATCAAGCGCAATTACTGTTTAACAACTAAGAATTTGTTATGATAACATTTTAGCTAGGTGCACAGTTAAGATGTGTTCATGTGCAGGCGGGCAATAGTGTCCCAGACGACGTGGTCGCTTGCACCATCCAGCTGATCGCGGAGAGCGGTGAGGCGGAGCAACAGTACGCTGTGGCAGAGCTGTGGCAGCGCCTCTCTGCAGCACCTCTGGACACCCAGCCACTACTGCAGGTCGCCACGTGGGTGTGTGGCGAGTTTGCCAACTTCCTCAGCTTAGTAGGTGCGTTCAATCATTCTGTTTTCAGATCCATTACTGTAAAGTAGCATTCTATGACCGTGGTAATTTAATCCCATAGGTTGTTGAGTGACTTCTGAAGTTTGAAGTATGCTTCGTGTTGAGCTGGTTTAATAAGAATACTGGAACTTTTCTTGTAGAGATACACAATGGGGAAGTCGTTAAATGCTTTACTGAAATAACTTAAAGCTGATGAGTCAGCAATATATGTTTATAATGGCTTTGTAATCACATAGTAGAAAGGTAGCGTTATAGTAAGAAGAGGTAGTACTAATAGCATTTATGATCCATAAGGTGGAGGAGTGAGTGAGGGCGAGGTGGTTGCCGTGTATCAGAGGATACTGTGGTCGTCGCAGTGCTCGGCCGTGACCAAGCAATACGCCATCACCTCCAGCATGAAGCTTGCCAGCAGGATGCCTGGAACGAACTCGTGAGTTTCACCCTCATATATACCAGCTAAGTTATTGGGCTCCTTATGATCGTCGTATAAACCGAGTTGCTTATGATAGGGTCCTATATTCAGTGTTTTCCTCATCTTTTTGTAAATTGTAACTTATCCATGCAGTTTTGCGTACGCAATTTTTGTCATGTTGATGCACGAGTGTATGCCATCAGGATAACTTCAATCAAGCAAATGACCTCAAGTTAAACTGACTTTTGATGCATTTTATTTGGCAGGCTGGTAGCACAGATGGTTAGTGCCTATGGCTCTCACCTGAACGTCGAGCTACAACAGAGAGGAGTAGAATACACGCAGCTTTTCACCAGATACGAGTGAGTGAGCTTAGCGCTGCCCTTATTCTTGCTGACCTGTCGCCGTATTATCACCCATAGTTGAGTTTGAGTTCTTGTAACTTGGTCTGCCAAATAATGACGGCGTTTCCAGCTAAAACACCAATCACAGACGGGAATAATACGCTAGTTGTGATAATACCCTGTCATCCAACTAAAGACTCAAGGTCCAGTAATTTGCGCGTTCAATTAGAATTTATTATGTGACCTTAATTAAAAGTGTGACGTGAATTTTTCAGTAGTTTTTTTAAGTGGGAGAAAAAATGAAAGCAATAAGTTTTAATTTTCAAGATATTTTTTTAAGAAGCGATAAATCGTGATTTTTTGCATGAAGCAAGAAATTATGGCAAACTGTTCTCTCCAGCTCGATGCGTGGCCCTCTGCTGGAGCGCATGCCGCCCTTCGAGCGTTCCAGATTACGTGTGTCACAGGACGCGGCTGCTGCTAATGCTGCTGCAGCAGCGGCCGCTGCACCGCTCGCTAACGGCCTACACAACAACAATAACAACGACGCTGTTGCTGCGGTTCAAGCGCCCTCCCAGAGCGATTCTAATGCACTTCTGGACCTCCTGGGTGGCTTAGACGATTCTGCAAACGATGTTCCTGTGCAAGTAAAGTCTGCGCCGCTCCCTCCCGCCGGAACTGGGTCCCTCAATTCCGATATTCTGGATTTGTTAGGAGGCCTTGGAGGAGGTGGTGGTGGTGACAGTGGAGGAACTCTCATTAGTAGAACTGTCAATAACGGGGGGATTTTGGACACTGGCCTCGGTAGTGCTAGTAATAACCTTTTGGATGATTTATTAAATAATTCTTCATCTAACTTGAACAATTCTACACTCGCAAACAACACCATCAACTCGACCAATTCCCTTCCCGTCTCCACCCTGCCTTCCTCAGGTGAGGTCATTTTTTATTGACTACGGCTTCATATTTCTAAGGATTTTTTCTAGTAGAAATCTGTTGCAGTTGACTCTTTAACAAGCAAATGACATGTTTCTTCCATTTATGCCTTAAAGTTTGGTGCTGTAATTTCATCTGTAACATTTTTCATTAAATTGTGAACTTTTTCATTTTTTTACAGACGAGTACGGGAGCCTGACAATATACGAGCGCAATAATTTGCGCCTTGTGATGACGTTTCAAAGACAAGATTCGCTGACAACCATAACACTCACGGCCACCAACAGCTCTACTTCCTGCAATATCACTGACTTTCTCTTCCAGGCCGCCGTGCCAAAGGTAAACCTAACCTTGCTCGCTATTTACTGTACAAAACTTTTGTTCACTAATCTATTTGATAACTTCAACAAGTCTTGTTCGCATTAATATGTCGCAAAGTTCTGACACGTGTCTTTACGCGTCAGAAGTCCTATGGGATTTCGCGCTCCTAGGGGGATTGTTCCTGAGCGCCCCACCGCTGAGCTCGCGGTGTCTGACTGCAGGTCTCAGTTGTGGGGTTAAGTTATTATGTAGGCAGGATTCCTTACATTTCCCTTCTCTGTCTCTCTCGTGCGGGCGGCCGACGTCCCGTGTGAGCGACCTCTTGTTCGAGTGTCTTCGTTTTTGGTACTTTTCAGCTGTCCCTCCTTGTCACTTCGTCTCTTTGAGATGCTAACGCTGCTTCTTTCGAACCAGCTTCAGCGGGCTGGACATCTGAGACCTTCCACCCCTTGTGGGTGATGACCTCTTTTTTATTTGAGAAACTTTTCATAATAGAGACCTTCCACCTCTTTGGTGAAATTCAACATGACTTTCGGTGCGAGATAGCTAATTAGCTGAAGCGCTAGTAAACATGTGGCCACTAAACTATGTCGCAAAGTTAGATCTAATCATGTTGGTTTCTCAGAGCCTTCAGCTGCAGCTTCTGACTCCCAGCAGCACAAGTCTAGCGCCTGCTGCGTCGCTCACGCAGTTCATCAGAGTCAATAACCCCAACAAGGTATGTTTGAAGCTTGAAAACATGAAGTAAATTGAGTTTCTATTAACTGTCATTGGAATTACACGTTATTTGTGTTAATCATTGAGCCCATTCCCTTAAACACTGAACTAATATAAAGTGGCTGAGAGAAATATCGGCAAGAAAAGAAATAGCTCAATCAAGTTCGTTCTAATGGGTATCAGCATGATTTTGAAATATTTTCCAAATATGTGTGATGAACTACTGGGGTTATTGTTAGGAAAAATATAAGTACAGAATTCTCTTATAGCAATTAGTTGACTAATCGTCATTAACGACTTGTCGAATGATCAACAATTGATTACTAAAGCATTTAGACCCCAACTATTTGCCTGTTGCCTATTTTGTCCAGGCTGTTCTCCGCATGAAATTACGATTGTCGTGGTTTGCCGATGGAGTGAAAATCGAAGACCAGAATGAAGTGAACAACTTCCCTCCGGCGCTGTGGCAGTACTGACACTCCATCTCACAATTCCCTGCGTCGGCAACTCTCGTCCGATAAGTCCACTCTCCACCTCGCAATCTTCAGTCAAAAGACAGACTGCGAGACGAAGTCTTCAGAAAATATATGCGGTTATATTATCGGTAACGTTTAGCTAGTATACTAAATCGCGAGTTTATTGTCACTGGTACTTGTGTAAATTGATATAATTTTCTGGGCCAATCTTAAATTTTGAAACTGGTGCGGTTCCTTATTTCTTTGTTATTGATTAAATATTTACCTCGGGGCAGGATATCCTGTTGAAATATCAGATTTTTTAAGTGATGAATGTTCATCTGAACGAGGCTGGTGTGACGCGGAAGTTTCAACATAAAAGGCACGAAAGAACAGTTTTGTGGCTACCTTCATGATCAGAAAACCAGACGCTGCATCGTTCCTTGCTCTATTTTAAGAAACTTGATTTACGCTCTCCTTCCCTATTTTTTTTATTCTGTTTGCCATCGAGCATAGATTATTAAAAAAAAATGCTGCAACCTCCAGTTAACTGGATACGTTATTTGTTTGGTCTCTAAAAGAATTGAAGAAATTGCATGGTCCATCCTTATAACTGTACGCTGCGATCTTAAATTAGATTGAGTTTTTAATTTATTCTGACGCATTTGCCTTGCTTTTTTCTTCTTTGGAGGTAATCTACTCTGTGGCTATTCCGTATTTCAGTCTGGTCAATTTAACCAACTTTAGTTTTTTTCATTTCGATTTGAAAGCTTATAGTTACTTAAGAGCCTAGTACACTGTTAATTTCACCTACAAAGTTCTAAGTTTTACTCTGGTTTTTAAGCTGCTGCAAAGAATGACAATAAATTGTGTACCTACAATTCTCAATTAAATCAATTATTAAATTTATAAAAATTGTGCTTGCAGGTTTACATAAATATTTTCGTTCCTTTAGCTCGGTAGTTTCAACGAGACTGAAGATTAAGTCTTAACATTCGTACTTAGTGCAGAAAAAATGCGCTAAAGCTCGTCTAATGTATACTAAGAAGCTTGGGATGTACCTACTGTGGGATAGTTTCTTTGCGGGAGCCTTTCTCTAAGTAACAAGTTGTGCACGGTTGTGATAACAGCAACTTTCTTGTATTATGATGTACAGTGAATATATTCACGCGAAGTGAGTAGTTGATGAATCAATTATTCATTTCTCCGATGTCAATAGAATTTGCTTTGTATTTGTATTTCCGGTAGTTCTTCAAACTCGGCTCGTGATTTGTTACCCATCGCTCACAGTGTGATGTTTTAGCTTTTACATTTTCTAGCAGGCGCGGGTAAAAAATTATCGGCGTTAATTATCTAACGAAGAGAATTTAACCAAATTTTTATGTCACCTCAAAACCAGTGAGAATGTGTAAATTAATCGGTTGGTGATCCTCGAAATCTGATGCTTCTTGATGACGCTTGAGTGCAATCTTTTCTCCTTTAAGAAACCTTCAATTTATCAGCCGATCTATCTTCTGAACCCCGTCCGTACATTTACTAAAGTAGCCATTTTCTGGGTGATTGAATTATATATGCTAATATTTCAAGAGCGACTTCCATGTTATACTATACTATTATGCTATATTCCCTTCCTCATATTTCTTGTAATTAATTCCATGAGCCTTTGTATATCGGTCATGTGCCTTGCGGCCACTATGATGTCAACTGGGACTATCTACCGTTAATATTTTTCTCTTCTTCTTAAATGATCATCAAGACTAAGTAATTACTACTTCGTTAATCAATAGATGAGTAACGACGACCATGTCCCAGTGCGATATAAATCTTTTAATCTAAGCATACTGAAGTGTGCGAGCAAGAATAGCCCCATCAGCGTTCAAGTATCTATGTTGGAAGATCTTTTTGTTTATTAGTCGAGGTATCTAACAACATCCTTGTAATCTCTGTAGTGCCGCTCAGGTATTTTTAAAAATATGTTATCTTATTTTACTTGGGTGAACAATTCATATTTTTTATTGCTTGGTTACACATGTTTTTGTTCTAGAAAGCTGCGTCGTTTGCGCTCTCAAGCTCCTGTTTATTCATAGACGAGTCAGTCTATTCTTATTGGCAAATACCAATTACTGAACTTGCGGTGAGTTACAGTTTGAGGTATCGAATTAAGATCCCTAATATCGAATTGGATGCGGTTTGAATTAGGTTTGCTCTCAAGTTTTTATAAAAAAAAATGAAACAATTGAACCGACAGTTTTTCTTGGATCATGCATATTACTGCTGGTTAGGACGAGATGATATTTCAGCGTCGAGTAAATATCCAATTGAAAGTTTCTTGTTTAATGAAAAGGTGTCAAGCTTTTGTTAGAAGTGTAAGATGCATTCAGTACACTTCGTTATTCAGACCTTGTGGCTACGATACCTAGCTCGCGCTGTACGTCTCAACACACCATTTCACATTAATAATATTGTAAATCAGGAATAGAAGAACCCAACCTTCGTTAACTTTAATGCTCCGTGCGCATTATTTCTGTAACCACAAGCCGCATTGTCTCCACTGGAAGGCCCGTCCACGCTGTCTAATATTACTATTACATTTATGATTGTTGCCCGCAATTTTAACGCAGGCTTCCATTGAGCGCGTAGATTCTGCCTGGTGTGGACGTGTAGCATTGCCGTAGGGCGTTAGGAAGGATATTGGGAATGCGCTGTGAATCTTGAACTTAACCCAGTCTTGGTCTACTTGGATAAATCGTGGCAATAACATATTGATGGGAAAGGAAGGAGCCAGGATGATTACCGTCAAGGTAATCACTAGAAGAATGTCAGTCTATGAAAGGCTTATGTGCGCGGTTTGTGTTCTCACCTGAGACGAGCAAATGCTTCTGACATCAGCTACGCTTCTTCATTGTTGTACATATTTTATGTTGATGTATTCCAGTTCGCCTTAGCTTTTGGTGTATATAATAGATTGAATCAAATTGCTGTATTTAGTAAGCTGTCACAGCCTGGGGGTTATCAATACCTGTGAACATAGCCGGATCCATTCTGAAATGGTGCCGAGTCTTTTCTTAGCAGCTTATCGTTCTGTGCAATTCGAATTATTACAAATTAATTATTTGCAATTTTTTTAGCTCTCCTGGCAGAAAGGTCCATCTCGCAAAATTTCATGTTCCGATTCAATACAGCAGAAACGTGCTTTCTGTTCATTTTTGAACTTTTAAGATCCAGATTGTTATATTAAAACTATATTCCTTATTTAAAGCACATGATTCTGACCAGATGTCTTATTAATGCATTTATCGCGATCCGCTTCTGTTTCGTTGCTTATTTTACTCCTAGCTTCTCCTTGGTGACTAGTGTTCTTGTTTCTTCTTCTTAATCAATGAAATGAAACGGTTTGTCAACCCCTCATAATCATGTTAAATAATAGATTGGACTTCCTATAGCTGTGCTTGTACGATTTTCTACAAAACCAAACTACTTGTAAACCGATTGAATCGTTGCTAATTTTCAATAAATAATTAATAAGCGCTGTTCGTGGAATGCATCTTGGTCCCGAAAATATCAATTGATATAAATCGTATTTTAAATTTCCATGTCTTGTGCCATTTGTTGACGTTTTCTTTTCAGATTATCTACTATAAATATATTAGAGTTTCAAGCCAATTGACTCCACGAACGTCAGCCTGCGTATCTTCGCATGCGCGTATGACGTTGCTTTGTGTCTAAATTACTCGGAGGATTTTCCTTTTTCGAGCCTCCGGAGTATTGATTGGTTTCCCCTACATCGACTTCTACAATGTTGATAGGAAGAGAGTTTTGATTAAATCTACGGTTCACAATTTATTATTAATTGTGCATTCGGGCTAGATCAGAATTTTTTGTGTACAGTTGAATGCTATAACATTTTGAAATTTATAAATGCAACATTGCAAAAATGAATATTGATTAACGATAAATTATAGTTCATCTGTTTTTAATTACAAATTATAATTGGAGATAAAACCTTGCCATATTAGCGGGCTTCACGAAGCATTTTGGGCGTTTCATAAAGTTTTAAATTCACGTTGATGAAGAGTATCTTTTTATGCTATGTTTAAGTTTAATGCCTGTAACAAGATGATATAGTGCTCAGCTGACATGCGAGAAAGATGTCACTTCATACCCCAAACACGAAATGTTCCATACTCGTTTTGGCCAGGTTTGAGTGGTGAAGGTAGTAAATTTAGCAGCCTTTCAAACCGACGGTTATTCTTATTTGAAGACTAATTGGCAGGATTATATATGATATTTTTATTATTTATTCGTTGTAGTTTTGTTAACTGGGGAACCTGACCCTAGTCTTGTGGGCTTGCATGTAAGTTAAAGTTACTTGTTGACAGCAATGCGTCATAAATCTTAGTGAAATGTCATTCCAAATCTGGTGTTGCTGCTCACCACTTCAAATCTGCTGAACGTTATTGCAAATACCAATGATAATGAAATGTGTGACTTGAATATTATTGTTTGATTGAGAATTTATGCAACGCACAAGCATATAGTTGATCATGAATTATTTCCAGGGTGAACAAGTCTTCCCGACTTGCGTGAAACAGGCATCGCAATAGCTGCAGATGAAGGATGAGTTAAGGATACAAACTCAACTTCAAATCTTTTTACCTGTATATAGTGATAAACACTATTAATTTACCCTGAAAGTATACAAATTTACAACATTTATTCGGATCTGCCGCTCTATGAAACCGGATTATTTTTCTCTTCTGTGAATTGATCAGACTAATAAAATCTACATACTAGCCTTCATCAATAAGGTCAGAAGCTGCCTTCACAGTAAAGCCATGGCTGACGAGCGCCAGCTTGATGGCTGCCACGACGTCAGCCACCTCAGCCATAGCTCCGCTGCCTTCATCCCCACACATAAGACGTTTACTTATGGCTGGTACTTCCGTGTAACCAAAGTCCTGGCGAACCACAAAACTTTTCAATCTCATGCACATGCAACAATTCAAAACACAAAATTCAACGATGTGAATGGAAATTGCAGAAAAGCTTCATCGACAGGCAATAGACCAAAAATATAATCTCAAAACAACCAAATAATCATGCCCAGAAAATAAACGAATTGCTTCGGAATTCAGGCTTCATTGATGTAACTAAATAATCTACCAAGTAGTCCACTTCAGAAGTTATGCTGCAACAAATTTGAGACTTACTGAGTAAGACATCGAAATTTTTTCCATATTTTATATTAATCATCGTCAAGCTTGTTACCAAGTACCAACCTTGAGCGTGGAGATATGCCTGGCAGTGAGGGGATGTTCGTACATGAAGGTATTCATGGCAGGACAAAAGAGCAGCGGCTTGCACGGGTCCCAGGCGCGGGCAACCGACGTCAGCAGGTTATCGCACAAGCCGTTTGCCTGGCAGAGGAAAGAGCTCGTCATGTCTGATATTGCTACCGTGTACCGTCAATGCTACTAACTTCGCAACAGCACTTACGACTCGGCTTCGAAAGAAACTATATTTTTTTACAAATCTAAGCCACAACTTTCCAGCGCGATCGAAAAACTTAGTAGTTATGTGGCAATCGAACCCTACAAATCGTAATTCTGACGCTAGGCGATAATGCATGATATTAATAGAAGTGTAGTGAATGCTCAGGGTGAAATGCACTCTGGAAACAATAGTAAAAAGAAAATATTTTAGATGAGACATATCCAAGCCAATGCAAGCAGACCAAACTTTTAATGTTGACAGTCGAAACCATAGACATTTTTCACTAATACATACAGAGAAAGCCATTCGGTCCATTGTTCATTCTAAAGCTAGATAGTTATTGACACGTTCCATTCAAATAAAACGTTTAATTACGATCAGTGCCAGGTCATGATGGATTAAAATATTCAACGAGCGAGAGTAGGTACATGTAAACTCGGCATATACTTACCAACTTAGCGAGTGTGTTGGCACTAAGAGGAGCAATGACGAACACATCGGCCCAACGACGAAGCTGGATGTGCAATACAGGGTCTCCTCTTCCCTTCCACGCCCGCCACTCCATCTCGTCCCCCGTCAGGGTGAGTGTTGGGTGCTGCTGCTGTACATGACACCATCCGCACACACGCCCTGCCGCCTCACCAGAAACTACAGTATTGGGCACCACATCATTCTTATGTTCAAAAACTTCCGTGTTAACAGTTCCACGCTCATTTTGAGAAGCATCAAGACAAGCTTCTTTCAAACATTGAGAGTTTTTGTCACCGAAGCTGTGCCTTGCATTAAATATTTGCGAGCAAACAGAGCAGCCTTGAGCTGCATTAGTTCCAAGTGGGTGTAGGCTATCATTCCCACTACTAGTATTTTGTTCTATATTAATTATTTGTGTGTTAGGGGCTGGACTAGGAGCATCACGGGTTGGTTCCTGGACCTCAACTTGCAACTTCTGTAGCACCAATTCTTTAGACACTGAAGTTTCTACGGGTAAACACTGATTCTTCACTGGGAGTTCCACAGTTGTCTGCCTGGCAGCCGCCATCAAGAAATGCAGGGCAGAAGCAGATGGCAGAACTATCACCTGCACATCAATTTCTTGTAGAGCAGCTGCGATGAGAGGAACTTTTATGGAGGCTACACTGCCAGAACACCCCAACAGTACCCGTGGTTTACGGTTTTTTGTTGCCTGGCTATTAAATTGCTGATTTGTTTCACCAGCTGGTGGAACAATTTCCACTTCTGATAACCACTTCAACAACCTCTCTGGTCCCATCATTGTAACTGAAAATGCGACAGCTCGAGTAAGTTATTTGGGGGCACATGATATTTTACATAATTCACTAACTTCTCAATGCATTTCATTCTCCTACTTACTGGCAGTAGGTAACAATATTAAATTCAAATGCATAGAATGACTAACTCTTTCAAATCAAAACAGGTTACTTGGTTCCTGCACATTACACATGCTTCAAGGTGTGTTTTCTATGCCTGTTTGATAGTGAAATTTCAATTCAAAACAAAATTCCCAAGACTCACCTCTAAGTTCTAAGCAATAAAATTTCTATACAGGTGTAATACTGGAGACAGATGCAGTCAGAGAGTAGATTTAGCTCTAGAAGAAGTGCCCTCCAGGTCAGCATATCCCAGCTTGCTCAACTCTTCTCTAGCCATCAGACCCTTTTCCATACGACAATCAAGGTAGTCCCGAGCAGCTACTCGGCATTCACTGTTACTGCCATTATTCTCGTGCATACACTGCATATATCTGGAAGCAAGGAAAGAACAAATTCACAAACTCAAACAAATGCTAAGGTAGCTTGTATATAGGTAATCATTCTGAATGCTTCATATTAATAGAAAATTACACTAAAATGTCATCATAATTCACAATAAAATAAAATAACCAACTAAACATGAGAGGTAACAGAAGTACATTGCATTAGGTCTATATATAAATAATTTCTTGCTTCAATTCAATCTTCAACAACAATCATGACAAAAATACAAACATCAAGAGTTTGCATCTAAATCTGTATGTATAAATCTGTATCTGGGTAGAATTATGAGAAATATCTTCTGGTAAACTTAATAAATCATTCACATAAATTTATAAGGCATATTCAAGTAGGTTCCTACAATACTTATGGTGTCAAAAAATTACATAAAACCTGGTAATAACTTGATAAAAAACAGCAACTTGATTTTTAAATAGATGCATGAAAATTTAGTTTTTCATTTCAAGAACAAGTTTGGCATCACTTAATTTTCTATGATGGAGTTTAAGATGATAAGATTCATTATCACAGGATTTAGGATTTAGAAGATTTTCAAATCTCACTGCTTATCAATGAATGAATCTGCCAGTTAAATACATAGTACATATCAATGTTTAATCTGCTGGTTGAGTACTGGTACATATTAATGTTTTATCTGCCAGTTGAATATTGGCACATAGTAATGTTTAATCTGCCAGTTGAATACATTAACAAATATTCCTCAAATTTTTCCTGCTGTCAAAATTAAAAGATCCACATGGGGCAGACAGATGATTTTTTTAAACCAGAATGTAGGTAATTCATGTCAATTCACTTACACATTCAACTGTAGAAATTCAATTCAGTCAAGCATCAAATTTAGCTTACTGCAATTTCTTGAGCCACAAAACATCTCCTATCAAAACTTTTGCTGTTGTGTATCTATCTACTTCACAATCAAACTTGTGAAAGTTTGATTGTTTGAACATCAAAGCCTGAAAAACTGATATAGTTGTTAGTTGTTACTAGGCATTTTAAGACTGAACATATGCTCCTGCTTCAGTGCTGACACTTCTATTTTATTCTAAAACTGATATATGAGCTCAAGTTATTTCAGCTCAGATACTTACTATCTAAAATTTCAGTTTAGTGGGAAGACCACAAGACAATCAAAAAAGGTAGTGAAAGGTTACTAAAATATTCAATTTTACATTCAAATTTTTAAATGTAATTTTTGCTGCAAAAGAATTTAGAATTTCCATCAGATTTTAAAAGAAGATTTTGATCATCATTCTGCATTGAAATTGCATTGGGATAAGAATTTGTCAGTTAGAAAATTGGCAACAAGATTCTGAACTATGGGATTAGTTAGGCAAGACATTACAATGAAAACCAAGACAGTAGCAACATATTAGTAACTAAAAATTCCTTATCAGAATGGAATTACAGTTGTTCATATATGTATATATATACCAGTATATCACATCAATATCAATCCAGCTGGGTAAGTTACTTTTTCAAAAATATCAACAATGCTATAAAGAAAGAGCCCAGTATCCCATCTTCTGACCCCAGGGTGCAGAAAGTAGGTGAATATCTGAAGATCTTCAGCAATGCATCAGTGGCAAAATTTACACTTGCAGAAGATCTTACCAACACATTTGGATTGAAATTATTGCATTTTAGATATTTGCAAATCTTTGGCAATGCTCACTGCAGAACAGCAGGTACACCAGTGGCTGCAGCATTTTGAAAGTTTCCGTTTGGTCAGATGAGGGTCATGAGGCTGTAAAGCACAATACACAATTTGGTAATTTTGGTTGTGTTGCAATAGTGTACTGCAGTGGTTTCCAAAGTTTTTATCCTATTTCGTCAATATTGTCTAAATAACTTCACTTCAGATTCTGAATGATTTTGTCTCCCATCGTGAGTTTTAGAATCTTGTTTAGAAGCAACAATTATTGCAGTAAATAAGTCATTGAGCACTTAGGCACATACCATGAGGTGTATTAAACAATTTAATTTAATTCATTAAAATGTAATTTTTCATTTTAAAATTGTAATTAAATTTTACAATTTATATTTTTAAAATTTAATTTAATTCTACAGCTGCAGTGGCAAAAATGAGCATCATAGGAACAAAGGTAAAATTGTCATCCATACAGTACATCCCAAATTAAATGACAATGGATTTGGTATTTTATTAATCCCATTTATGTGTAAGAATGGAAATGTTGCATCTATTTCAGAATTTGTTCTTGAATACACTTGTGAAAAATACCGTAACACTTACAGTTACTACCGTAACTGTCGTAATTAAACAGTAATACTACAGTACTTGCATACCGTAATATTACGGCTGGCACTGCCATACTACTGGCATTGGCATTGCCAACCCAACTGTAATCAGGAAAAAAAGTCAGTTGTATGTTTGCCTTCATTGCGTATATGTGTACAAGGTTTTGCTCCCTTAAATAGCTTTTGTGGTATGCATCAATCCCAAGTGGAAATTTCACTTCTCTGACAGACATATAAAAATTTTCAGACATGTGGGAGTTACCCTATGGCAGATGAGTGCAGATTTGGGAGGAATATCTATATTCAACCACAGATTTTGGTAATTCTCTTAAAATATAATGTATCACTTTCACAGAACTATAAAAGTAGTTGCACAATGATGCAAGACCCACAAAGGTTGTGTAGTGAGCTCAAAACATTTGCTGTGCTGAGGTTGTACTTGAGGAACTGTTTACAATTTCTAAAAAAAGGATGGCAACGCTTTCACGTGATAGATTACACATTTATACAAGATGCAAAGAAAAATAAGGACCAGCAACATTAATTAGCATTTTATTTATCCTTTCATTATTTGTTCATATATGAACAGTAAAATGAAATTTTGATGACCTAATATATGTGTCATATATGGTAATTAAGAATTAAGATAAGATCAATCAATTGATTAATTTATAAATCAATGATCAATGGTTTAGCTTTAATGTTTTTAATTTATATTCGAACTCATAGAAAATTCATAGATGAAATATTAACTTGTATTTATGCTGGTGTTAGAAGCATCATAAAATTTTTCTTATTCACTGACTGCAAAGTGAAGTATAAATGCAAAGTGAAATATAAAAGAAATAAAGTGAAATAAAGTAAAGCTAATTTTATAACTTAATTTGTTTTGTAATTTGAAAGATTGAATGGTTATTATTAGGAAAGACAATAATAACCTTATTTTTTTCCCAGGGAAGAATTAAAAGACCATTGGCTAACAAAGCAACTATTGAATTTATTATCAAAAGTAATTTACAAAATAGAAATGTAGACAATATTTTTCAAATAAATTTCACTAGGAAGCAGATGTGTTGACCAATGAGTGAAATTATTAATATTAAGTAATTTAATGTTTGGTAAATTTAGTTCATGCCACCATTATCACAAAGTTGTACTTCCAGTTCCATGTCAATGCATAGTAATAGTATTACTATGCATTGACATGGAACTGGACCTATTACTGTAATACACTCAAACTACAGAGCCAACTGAGTTGCATGATAGCACCATTGCACCAATAATGATGGCTATAACAAACTTGATGAGAACCATTCAGGAACAGAAAACATTAACTTTCACTCATGTTTTTGCAAAATAAGGCAACCAAAATTTGAAATAGGCCTATTTCATTGTGAGCCAAACTTTTTAGTATTTACGAGCAAAATTATACTTGGTGACAAATCATTGCTTATCTGTTGCTATGAAGAAACAACTAAATTGAAGTTTCTCTGACAGCAAACTAATATATCATCCATTGATTCCATTCCATCTGAGAGCCACACCTATGTGACTATCACTGTCCTTAATTGATAAAAAATTTTTAAAGTAGTACAATGAGTTAAAAATACACATTATCAGTATTGCTTGATTAAATTTCTTAAAGACATATTAAGGTGTCTCATTAACATCTATGATGCATCAGCAAAATCACACATTGCCACAGAGATACAAATCATGAAATTTGTATGCATATTTATCCTTTCTAACTCAACTAAAATTTTTCAATAAAAAAAAAGTGGCAGAGGTGGATCAAAATTTCAAAAATAATTTATGAACAATAGGTAATTTTCAGAATTCCATCCTGTTACATACCCATGGGCCATGGCCCTGTTACAATTTTGTAGACAAAAATTAAAAAAAATTCATTTTTACCTGAATTTACTAATCAATTTCCTATTTAGATATATGGGATACCATTGATAATACCATATAAATAAATATATATAGGGTAAACACACCATATTCCAACACATTAAGGATGTACCAAGAAATGAATGGCTATAAAAAGATCACCGTATGCGCAATTCAAGTTCTGATTGCTTTACATCACTCTCAAAAAGCCACACTACGCGCCAGCAACAATGAAACGTCACAAACTGTTGCCATATTTATTTAAAAGCCTTTAGAATTCAAGTCTACAAAATCCCTGAATTCTGACACTGTGTGTGACTAAATTTGGCATATTGTGAAACTAATTCCAACAGCGCTTCAAACTCAAACTAATTCATAATTCCAACGCCCTGTGTAGGAATTCCGATGCCCCGTGTGAGCTGTATTGGAATACCACACAGATTGGAATGAGCTTTTAATTAAGAGCTATAAAGCTTTTAATTAAGAAAATTTTAATTTTTGAACACAACTCGGAACAAGCTGTGTGTGTCCAATTTCAAGCTGTGTCGGAATCAGTTTTTATCTGTCTAAAACTGTCTCTTAACTTAATCATCTATTAATTTATTTTCCACTTAAAATCAGCAAATACAAGTAGGTATACTTGAAGGATTCCTAATATATTTACAGACTTATTTAAAAGTCTCAAAGACTCAAACCATAACATTCTTTCTACACAAACAGTTTAGGCTATCACTATTTGAGGTCAACTATCAACTTTGACACATGTTTTGATGTTCTCACTACTTGACTTGGACTTTCGCTCTGAGGATCTCAACATTTTCCTGCCACGCCAGACCTAGTGTTTTGCAGGAATCTGTTGCGCAATAGTATGACATCACTATTTCAACCATTTATGCATGCGTGGAACTAAGACAAAGCTTAATATAAAGGAAAAAGTTGAGAAGTGTTGGAATTAGGGTAAATGCGGTATATTCCGACACATTAAGGACGCATTGAGAAATGAAAAACAATAAAAAAATAACTGTATGCGTTACTCAAGTTCTGTTTGCTTTATGTGACTTGCAAAACACCATACTACGCACCAGCAACAATGAAACGTCACAAAATGTTGCCATATTTATTTAAAAGCCTTTAGAATGCAAACCTACCAAATCCCTATATTCCGACACTGTGTGTGGCAATATTTGGCACGTGGTGAGGCATATTCCGTCTGCGCTTCAAATTCTACTGATACGTAATGCCGTCATCCACGTGTTCGAATTCCGTTTGCTGTGTGAGCTGTATTGGGATACAACATGGCTTTGAATTAGAACACTAATGAATATTGAACACTACTTAATTACGCTTTTAATTAACAACTATTAGGCTTTCAATTAAGCAAATTTTAATTTTTGTACATAGCTTGGAACGATCTGTGAGTGTCCAATTCAAGTTGTGACAGAATTAGTTTTCATGTGTCTAAATCCATTTCTCAACTTAATCATCTATTAATTTATTTACCACTTGAAATCAGCAAATACAAGTAAGTCAAGTATACTTAAAGGATTCCTAATATATTCAAAGATGTATTTAAAAGTCTCAAACCATAATATTCTTCCTATACAAACAGTTATTCACTATTTGGTAGAGCAAGGTCAACTGTCAAATTTGACACATTTTTCGATGATCTCACTGGGTAGAGTGCATTGTCTCTCTTTGGATCTCAATATTTTCCCGCTAAATGGCCAAGACCTAGTGTTTTGGCATTAGTTTGAGGCGCAAATGTATGACGTCACCATTTCAACCATCAACGAACGCATGGAACTAAAACAAAGCTTGATATAAAGGAAAAACTAGAGAGGTGATGGAATTACCCACGATGTCGGAATATACCGCGTTTACCCTACCCACGATGTTGGAATATGGTGCCATAGTGGCAAACCAGAGATTTTTTGGAATCAGTTCATTTTTAATTTTCCCAAAACTCAAGATTTAAACCAATTTCTTAAGTAGGGTAAACGCGGATTTCATCGTTGCTGACGCGTAGTGAAGTGTTTTGACAGTCATGTGAAGGCAACAGAACTTACGTAACGCATACGTTTTTTTTATAGTTTTTCATTTCTCGATGCGTCCTTAATGTGTCGGAATATACCGCGTTTACCCTATGATAATGCTGGTATCCATGATACTTTACTGGTCTACTTATAGGACTCAAAAATTAACTTGAGGGAGAGTCTAAAAAACTCTCTGCTTTGTCACTATGTATGGTGCATTTACCCTAAAGCCAAAAAATCTGAGACTCTACAAAATTCTAAGTTAAAAAATGCAAAATTTTATATTGTCATAAAACATGCAGTCAAGCCTGTCAAGGTGCTATATAATTCTGGGTTTCTGGCACAAGGGAAGGGAACTTAGGAAAGAAAGCAATTTTACCTTCTTGCTGTACTCAACTCACCTAATCATAAAAGCCTTGCACTGTCCTTCATGATCAAGTGGAAAACTTCCTTTATCTGGAGGAGTGGGCTGAAACGAACGAGTACCAAGGGTCATGGAACCCATTGCCAAATGTAAATTAACCTAAAATTAAACTCGGCTGACGCCTAAGACTCAACAGCCTACAACAAGTAGGCAGCCTAGTTATGGTTGTGCTTGTGAGTCGTGACCAAATAAATGAGCATCAGCAGTTAGAAACAATGGTTATGGATTGAATCACGAAAGCTTGTATGCTGAAACACGAGTATCATTCCTCGACTTTCAGTTTCAGGACCAAAAAACACGAGCCTTCGGACCCGTAAGCCCGTTTGGGGTAATACTTAAAATCTGAAGAGTGAAGACGCGTAGACGCCGATGGGCGATTTTTTTTTTTTTTAATTGAATTATTAGGCTTCGGGTATGTAGAAAACACACCTCCCAGCCTGAGCACCAATTGAATTTTGATTTGAGTCACTTCACTCCAGACTTATTTTCCATTCTTGCCTCTTTGCGTTTGAATGCATCACTTCCACATATTTCACCAGAGCAATGTGGCAGTACATTGTTGAAAGAAGAGTAAAATTAGTTTCAGATGAACATTCACAACCTGGCCACCATATTGCAGTTCAGCAAGTAACGACCAAGATGTCGAATGACAGTAGTGCGGCTTCTCGCTGGGATGTCCCCACCACCAAGAGCCGTGGTAAGATCCCAGGGAAGAGACAGGCCTTCCAGTCTTGCGCGGAAATCCCTTCGTTGTTCGGTGAATTGTGTGCAATGTAGTATAAAATGGCTGACTGTTCCCTCAACACCACATGCTAAACAGTTACTTGAATCTGCCATGTTGAATCTGGCCAAGTGAGCATTTACACCAGCGTGCCCCATGCGAAGGCGTGACACAGCGCATTCAACTGAGCGTGGCAGCACTCCATAGTCCACATAGGTAATAGC